TAGGGAAAAAAACGTATGGCCAAATGACGCGGAAAAGAGGGAAAACAAAAGAACGAAGATGAATGCAGGATTAAGTCAGGCCAACCTCCCTACTTTCCATCCCTTCCTTCCTTCCTTCCTTTCTGTCTTTCTTTCCTCCTTCCTTCTCTATTCCTCCTTCTTTCCCCCCTTTTTCTTTTCTTCTGCTTCTCCTTCTTCCTTCCCCCTCTTTCTCTACATCTTCCCCCTTCCTTCACTCCCTCTTTCCTTCCTTCTTTCCCTTTTTTCTTTCTCCTCCCTTCTCTTTCCTTCCTTTCCCCCTTTTTCTTTCCCTCCCTCTTTCTCTCCTTTCTTCCTTCTCTACCTCTTTCCTTCCTTCCTTCTCTCTTTGCTTCCATGCTTCCTTCTCCCTTTCCTTCTTTCTTTCCCTCCCTCCCTTTCTTTTCTTTTCTTTCTTTCTTTCTTTCTTTCTTTCTTTCTTTCTTTCTTTCTTTCTTCTTTTTCCTTTTATCCTTCCTTCTCTTCTCCTTTTATTATAGTATAGAACTGTGCTGTCGCACGCTGGGCCTGTGCATAAGACTGTAGACAGGACATAAATTCCGTGTGCCCAACGGGACGCCGGGGCTGCCTCAGATTAAAGGCCCTTGGATTTCCTTAAAACAGAGTCTTTAGATTGCTTAAAGGTTCAACAATGTTCTTTATTGATGAAAACAAACAGGTACTTTAAAGCTTTCTTAACAGTCTATTGGCTCTCTCTCAATCTTGTCCACAGGGAACAGGCACTATCTTCATAACTGTATTTAACTAATGGGGAAATCCTTAACTTCTAATCTGGGCAGTCTGTCTTTGCCTTTGTTGGCGTGGAGCCCCTGCACCCGGTACCAACTGCTTCTGGCTTCCGCGAGTGACCCTTACCAAGCAGAGCTTTGTAGACTTCCAGGGGAAAAGAGTTCAGGTTTCGGTGATGGGACCGGATTCCCTCAGCAAAGGAGCTGTAAGGCTGTATATCTCCCGGCCAAGCCGTAGAAGACGAAGTTTTCTACAGGAGCTCTTGGTATTATGTCCTGCATGAAAGGCTTCTCTGTGTGGACTGAACCCAAAAAGGCTCCTATTCCCTCCAAAAACCCAAAAAGGGGGCGGGACCAGGGAACCTAACTATAATTGACAGGTGGCTTGCCCTATGATTGCAGCCAAAAGAAGCCACCTATCTGCAGAGTCCCTGAAACTTAGGACTGCAACAAACATACAATGCAAAGCAAACAAAATTGGAGCTCCTGGTACAGTTGTACCTGCACAGTCATTTAGCTTTTCATCATTTTGGGGGCTTTTAAAGTCCCTTCTGCTGTGTTTTTCAGTGTTTCAGATATTATATTATGTCTACCAGCTGGTCGGCACAAATGAGAAAAAAATATACCCCAACATGATTGGAGTAACAGGTTTCAATGAGCGCCCGAAGATAGCCAATGGCTTTTTGCCTTGGGTTTGCTTTGACGGTGAGCGATCAAGGCCACAAGTCATTGGAAAAGGACAATGTTCGGTTGCAATCAGCATCACAACGTCGTCGCATTTTTGAACCCGCTCTACCACAACGGGTCGGCCTTGCTCTTGTTTGCTTTTGCTGTCAAGTTCACTTCTGCGTTTCTTCCAGCCTCCTAAGACACTGATTAAAAAGCCCCGAAGGGAAACACCGATATAGAATCGCTGAAGTCAGATGCATCTGCGAGTGCATCCACACGGCAGATTTAATGCAGTTGGACACCACTTCAAGATGTGGAATGATGAGAGTTCTAGCTCAGGCATGGGGAAACTTAGTCCCTCCAGGTGTTTTGGACTTCAACTCCCACAATTCCTAACAGCCGGTAGGCTGTTAGGAATTGTGGGAGTTGAAGTCCAAAACACCCGAAGGGACTAAGTTTGCCCATGGTTGCTTTAGCTGGTACTCTTTGGGTGTGAAGGTTAAAGACTTTGTCAGATGACAACTCCATTCCACAGCATGGTGGTTCAAGTGGTATCAAACTGTGTTAATTCTACAGTGTAGAAACACTCCCATCGATGCTGGCTTGGGATTGCTGGTGCGGGCTTCTGCCACTTCTCCTCAGTCAAGTCCTGGCTTCTCTGCATCATCTGTTTGTCCGTCTGAAAGCTCTCCATCACCTCTCCTGACCCTCGCGACAGATTGCCTCTCCGTTCCTTGCCCGGTCCAGAGCCTCCCTCCTTCCTTTAGAGCCAGCTCACCCTCAAATGTAGCCTGACAGAATCATGTCATGTATTTTCCATTCCTGCCTCCCAAAATGGCCTGAGACAGCAGTTTTTCGTGATAGTATCTGGCAGGCAGAAGTAAAACGAAGCACATGGGTGAGAAGGAAGAAGCAAGACGAGGGATGCCTCTACACTTGCTCACAGGTACTGTTTTCACACATCTGTCACCCACCGTATATCTCTGCATTTCTCTTTTGATCATTCTGCATTACTTAGTGACCCAAGAGCCCCATCTATCTTTGTGACCCCATCTCCCCCTATGAACCGGGAGGGGGGTAAGGAGGAAGGAAAGAGAGAAAGAAGGAAAGACAAAAGGGAAGGAAGAAAAGATGGAAGGGAAAGAGGAAGGATAAAGGAAAGAGAAGGAAGGAAAGACAAAAGGGAGGGAAGGATGGAAGGAAGGGAAGGAGGAAGAAAAGAGAGAAGGATGGACGGAATGAAGGAAGGGAAGGATGGAAGGAGAGAGAGGGAAGGAGGGAGGAAAGAGGGAAGGAAAGACAAAAGGAAAGGAAGGATGAAAGGGAAGGAGGAAGGAGGAAGAAGGGAGGAAGGGAAGGGAAAGATAAAGGAAAGAGGGAAGGAAAGACAAAAGGGAAGGAAGGATGAAAGGAAAGGAGGAAGGAAAAAGTGAAGAAAGAGGAAGAGAGGGAAGGAAGGATAAAGGAAAGAGAAGAAAGGAAAGACAAAAGAGAGCAAAGGATGGAAGGAAGGGAAGGGAAGGAAGAAAAGAGAGAAGGGAGGAAGAACGAAAGGATGGAAGGAGAGGGAGGGAAGGAGGGAGGAAAGAGAAAAGGAAAGACAAAAGGGAAGAAAGGAAGGAAGATTGAAATGGAAATTGGAAGGAAAAAGAAGGGAGGAAGAAAAGGAAGGAAGGAAGGAAGGAAGGAAGGAAGGAAGGAAGGAAGGAAGGAAGGAAGGACCCGCCGGGGAGGCTCTCCTATTGCAGCCACCACCACAAGCACAGCTGGTGAGGATAAGGGAGAGGGCCTTCTCGGTGGTGGCTTTGGAACACCCTCCCCAGGGAAATTAGGCAAGCCCCCCAAAAAAGCCAATGGGATTTTGGCCTGCATCAATAGGAGTCTAGTGTCTAGATCCAGAGAAGTCATGCTCCCCATGCTCTATTCTGCCATGGTTACCACAATGACAGAATCCATGGCTGCCAATGACTTTGTAAGACCTGTGGATCTTGGAATCGCCAAAAGTCAAAGCAAGCCTAATGGCAAATAACAGCAACAAAGCCACATTGAGTTGCAATATTGGACAAAAATGGCGATGGCGATCGCCATCATCATCATCATCATCATCATAATCACCACCATCATCATCATCATCATCATCATCATCATCATCATCATCATCATTCCCCTGGCATGGATATACAATGTAGCTCTATGGGTTGAATTTCGGATTGGCACAGCGGGCTTATGCAACCCAAGGATACACAAGAGATAGTCATGGGATCCCCCCGCCTCCCTTTTAATGGAAAGTGACCGAGGATGAAATGGTTGGACTTACTTGCCAGAAGCGTAAACCTCAGCCGTGTCAAAGAGGTTGACCCCATTTTCATAAGCAATGGTGAGCACATTCTCCGCCATCTAGAAACGGAAAGAGAAAGGTAAACAATGAGGCCCTGGATGAGGTGCAAGGAAGAGAGCAAGGGATTTGTGATCATGAGTGCTTACCTCGTCTGAAATCTGGGATCCGAAGGTCACCCATGTGCCTGCAGGGGGGAGAAATTGGGATTTTTGAGAAGAAAATGTAGATTTTTGAGAAGAAAATGATTTTTGAGTAGGCTGTTAGGAATTGTGGAAGTTGGAGGGCCCAAGTTTGGCCATACCTCTTCCAAGATCTACAATCCAAGTGTTTCTCCTCCCAAGAACTTACCAAGCCCAAGACAGGAAACACGAAGTCCCGATTTGCCCAGGTTCCTACAGAAGAGAGAGAGAGGAAAACAAATGGTTAAAGATGGTAACTGAGTATATTTTGATTACATAACGCTCTGGCAGATGGAACACCAGGCCAAAGATCTATCTAGTCAAAGACATATAAATGATGTGAATACCAAGATCCTGTCTTAGTCCAATATCAGATCTAGTCCAAAATCAGACCAAGGGCCTATCTAGTCCAGCAAACATGAATGAAAAAGAAAAAGAAATGAAGACTCAAGGGCGGTCTCAGTCCAACATCAGATCTAGCCCATGCTGAGACCAAGGGCCTGTCTAGTTTGAGCTCAGAACAAGGGCATATCTAGTCCAAACTCAGAGCAAGGACCTACCTAGTTCAAGCTCACACCAAGGACCTATCTAGTCCAAGCTCAGACCAAGGGCCTATCTAGTCTAAGCTCAGACTAAAGACCGATTTAGTCTAAACTCAGATCAAGGACTATCTAGTCCAAGCTCAGACCATGGTCCTATCTAATCTAAGCTCGGACCAAGGACTTAACTAGGCCAAGCTCACACCAAGGGTCTATCTAGTCCAAGCTCAGACCAAGGGCCTATCTAGCCTAACCTCAGACCAAGGGTCTATCTAGTTCAAGTTCAGACCAAGGGCATATCTAGTCTAGTCTCAGGCCAAGGATCTATCTAGACCAAGCTCACACCAAGGTCTATCTAGTCTAAGCTCAGACCATGGGCCTATCTAATCTAAGCTAAGATCAAGGACTTATCTAGATGAAGCTCACACAAATGACCTATGTAGTCCAAGCTCAGACCAAGGACATATATAGTCCAACATTAAATCAAAGACCTATCTAGTCCATAAATGAAAAATAAAAAGGTGTGAAGACCAAGTACCTGTCATAGCCCAATATCAGATCTAGACCAACAACAGATCAAGGCCCTTGATCCAACATCAAACTAAGGTCCTATCAAGTCCAACATCCGGCCAAAGACTTATCAAGTCCACCATCAGACCAAGGGCCAATCTAGTCCAACACTCCTTTCATTTAGGCAAGCCAGAACTACATCCAGGGGTCATGGATTCCATGGATCCGCTACACCATGTTATGAGAAACTATTTTATTTTGTCTCTCCAGTCCATAGCAGAACCCATCGTTCATGGGTGAGTTCCTGGATTATGAGGAGTTGGAAACTTTGGGAGTGAGGGTCATCCTTTGGCCTTCCAGATGTCCAATTACAGTGTCCAGCATCTCCACCCAGGAGAGCCAATAGCAAGGAGTGATGGGAGCTGCAGTTGAGTGACATCTGAAGGTCAACAAAACTCCTTTGGAAAGACAAGTGAGAGCCAGAACAATGGAGCTGGGAAGGAGAAATTAAGTGCAGCCACATTATTCTTTACATCAGCTGCTCTCCGATGCACAACGGAAAACACATTCAGGGGGAACTAATTCATTTTAACGGGTTCAATATGCCTTCTATGCGCTCCTCGCAGTTGAGTGAGTCAAGCGGCAGTCAGAGCTGGGACTTTGGGTGCCACGTTCAGAGAGAGACAGAGCGGTGCCCCCAGAGATGCCCTCCGCACCCCGCTACTCTGCCCCCCATGTTCATTAGCGCTGCCATGTGCCTCTTGCAGCTTCATTAGCGAGCGGAGCCACCGCTGTGAGCAAGAAGGGAGATAAAAATAGATGGGAAGCCAAGCTTGGGGCTTGGAAACGGGGTCACCGCTGCGCTGGCTCAGAGGTTCTGGGGGAGATGAAGTGGGAAGCAGTGGGACAGCATGGGACGGCGCTTCGGAGAACAACCTTCAGGCTGCGAAAGGGAGACAGCGGGTTTTCGGCGCATTGGCAGATTCCAGTTGCCACTTCAGATGTTTCTGGGGAAAAGCAGAGAGTAGCTTTGTGCAAAGATGGCCCTCCTGGTGTTTTGGACTTCAGCTCCCACAATTCCCAACAACTGGTAAGAGTTGAAGTCCAAAACACCTGGAGGGCCAAAGTTGGTCCATACCTGCCTTCATGAGTCCAAACAGCTTTAGTTTAATCTTTTTGCATGTCCAAAGTTGGGGAACATAGCCTTTGTTACCCTGTTTCTATGAGTCTACATTGGTATTATTATTGTTGTTGTTGTTGTTGTTCATTCGTTCAGTCTTCTCCGACTCTTCGTGACCTCATGGACCAGCCCACGCCAGAGCTCCCTGTCGGCCGTCACCACCCCCAGCTCCTTCAAGGTCAGTCCAGTCACTTCAAGGATGCCATCCATCCATCTTGCCCTTGGTCGGCCCCTCTTCCTTTTGCCTTCCACTTTCTCCAGCATAATTGTCTTCTCTAGGCTTTGCTGTCTCCTCATGATGTGGCCAAAGTACTTCAACTTTGTCTCTAGTATCCTTCCCTCCAATGAGCAGTCGGGCTTTATTTCCTGGAGGATGGACTGGTTGGATCTTCTCGCAGTCCAAGGCACTCTCAGAACCTTCCTCCAGCACCACAGCTCAAAAGCATCTCTCTTCCTTCGCTCAGCCTTCCCTAAGGTCCAGCTCTCACATCCGTAGGTGACTACAGGGAAGACCATGGCTTTGACTTATTATTGGCTTTGAATTATTATTATTATTATTATTATTATTATTGACACAAAAGCAAAAGTATGTCACAGTAAAAAAGATCTATATGCTGGATTTCGTATCACAAAATCACAAGTTGAACACTTCCCAAGCGTCTAGGACTGTGTGATGTATTTTCGAATGATGAGCACAGATCCAAGTAAATGGCCTTTTGCAGTTGACAGGTCGTGATTTTGAACATGGCCAGACAGCCCAAAAAACCTACAACAGCCCAAAGTATGTATGATTTCCTCTCTTTTTTTGAAGGCAAAATGAACAGAGGTTTATCGTTTCTGTCCAGAAAGCATGTCAGTACAAAGTCTGTGCTCAAAAGAAACAATACAAAGCACCTTATCCACTTGGTATGTTTTCCTGTTGGAGAAATAACCCTGTATTTCCTTCTTTCCCCATCACATCTCCGCAGCCAAACAAACAGAAGAACGGCTTGCTTCAGAGGAGCGTGCTTGCTCCATCCATGTTCAACATCTACACAAATGACCAGCCACTGCCAGAAGGGACAGAGAGTTTCATCTATGCTGATGATCGTGCCATTACTGCTCAAGCAAGGAGCTTTGAGATGGTAGAACAGAAGCTTTCCAAAGCTCTAGGTGCTCTAACTGCCTATTACAGGGAAAACCAGCTGATCCCCAACCCATCTAAAACACAGACATGTGCCTTTCATCTCAAGAACAGACAAGCATCCCGAGCTCTGAGGATGACCTGGGAAGGAATCCCACTGGAGCATTGCAGCGCACCCAAATACCTGGGAGTCACTCTGGACCGTGCTCTTACCTACAAGAAGCACTGCCTGAACATCAAGCAAAAAGTGGGTGCTAGAAACAATATCATACGAAAGCTGACTGGCACAACCTGGGGATCACAACAAGATACAGTGAAGACATCTGCCCTTGCGCTGTGCTACTCTGCTGCTGAGTATGCATGCCCAGTGTGGAACACATCTCACCACTAAAACTGTGGATGTGGCCCTTAATGAGACATGCAGCGTTATCACGGGGATTCTGCCCTACACCACTGAGAAATTACACTGTTTACTAGGTTCTTGTAGTTTTTTTCGGGCTATAGGGCCATGTTCTAGAGGCATTTCTCCTGATGTTTCGCCTGCACCTATGGCAAGCATCCTCAGAGGTAGTGAGGTCTGTTGGAAATAGGTAGTGAGGTCTATTTCCAACAAACCTCACTACCTCTGAGGATGCTTGCCATAGATGCAGGCCCTATAGCCCAAAAAAAACCTACAAGAACCTAGTGATTCCAGCCATGAAAGCCTTCGACAATACATTACACTGTTTAGCCGGTATTGCACCACCTGACATCCGCCGGGAAGTAGCAGCCAATAGTGAAAGGACCAAGGCAGAGACATCTCCAGCTCATCCCCTGTTTGGGTATCAGCCAGCACGTCAATGACTTAAATCTAGAAATAGTTTTCTAAGATCTACAGAGACACTCGCTGGAACACCTCAGCAAGCGAGAGTCCAAAAGTGGCAGGCTCAAACCCAGAACCTCAACCAATGTCTGATACCAAATGAGAGACTCCCCCCTGGGCACACAGAGGACTGGGCGACTTGGAAGGCGCTGAACAGACTGCGCTCTGGCACCACGAGATGCAGAGCCAACCTTCAGAAATGGGGCTACAAAGTGGAATCCTTGACATGCGAGTGTGGAGAAGAGCAAACCACTGACCACCTGCTGCAATGCAACCTGAGCCCTGCCACATGCACAATGGAGGACCTTCTTGCAGCAACACCAGAAGCACTCCAAGTGGCCAGATACTGGTCAAGGGACATTTAATCAACTACCAAACTCACAAATTTTGTATTTTGTCTGTTTGTTTGCTTTGTTCTGTTAGAAATGTAATATAATGACTGGTTGCCCTGACACGACAAATAAATAAATAACAGTAGCGTTTCTATGGGTCCAAATGATTTGGAAGCAGAGCACCAGGGTCAAACCAAACAAAGGAAAGAAAGGGTGTGAGAGCAAGCCATGATAGCGATGCCAACTCCATCGTTCCTCGCCCTCCCCATATCGGGGGAATAAGTATCGCTGTCCCCCAAACGCCAGCTGCTGCAGCGATACGGATCATGCCTTGGCCTCATAATTAAACCATAAGGGATATGATGAGGAAAACAGATGGCAAAGGGAGAGAGGGGACAGAAACGCAATCCTGCCTTGCGCCAACGGACCAGAACCAAGGCCTAAGGAAGCTAACTTTGCAGAAACTCTCCACTCACTCGATATATGCAAAAATCGATCACTTCCAGTCTGTATACATCCCAACTGGGCTTCTTGGAAGGACCACAGAGCATGCCTTAGGAGAAGAGAGATGCTTTGTGTCTCAATCACACCTCAAATGGTCAAGCCTTGTCCAGTTCCAGGTATGGGCAAACTTGGGCCTTTTGGGTGTTTTGGATATCAATTCCCA